GCGTATTTGCGTGCCTCAGGAGGATTGTGGGTGTAGAGCGTTACTTCCAGTCGCGGCAAAATAGGCCTTGCAAACTGGGTGAGGTCCGCACCAACCGCACGAAGACCCAGCCGCTTAAACAGCGTTTTAGTACGAGTTGACTTGAAAGGCTCCATCTTCCCAAGTCGACTCGTACTGAAATGCGCAACTGGGAACTAACGCCGTAACTCGGAGGCTTACTCGTCTATGCGCTCACCGAAGTTTCATTACCACAAAGGATTGATGGTTGTCGCTCCGTGTGGGTCCTTGCTGTAGCTATGCTATATGCTTTCCAAGCGGGACTGAAGGTAAATGGGATCCAGTGGGTCATGCACGCTCCACCGACCCCACCCCCCTCCTGCCCGCGTATGGTGGAGAGAAAACTCACTGGTGGCGCGCACGCGGTGCGTGCCGAGCATTGTCGCTGCGGTGTTGCGGCAAAAGGCCGGACACTGATAAGCGTTGCCGTAACAGATTTGGGGCAATTTGGCAAGGGGGGGGGAAAGCATTTTGCACTTTTGCTACTTCCCAGTCGACGTGTCGACCCATCTAGAGAGCCATTTCGTGAGCTTACAAGAGTTGACAGGTTTTACCATGGATGGCTAGACGAGCTTGCTCCAGCTTCACAAGAGTTCACAGGTTTCACCAGAGTGAGACTTGTAAATTGGAACTAGTGAAGCAACGAAAGTGCCGAATGCTAAACCGCCCCTAAATTTGATTGATTAGCTCTTTATAAGCCCATGTACGCTTTTATTCAGTAGCGCAGAGTTGCTAAGTGAGAAAATGCTCCTTCCTCAGCAGTGGCTTCGACCGTAGCTACCGGGAATCAACCTAATCACTACGTCCTGGACTGAGGAAGGCACCAAAACTAGATAGGAGAGTATATTTATCTGAGCTAGAATAATTGAACAAACAAATAACTGAGACAAATGAGTGATAATTTTGAATCGAGGTACAAAGAATAAGAACAGTTACCAGAATAAGAATAGAGACCATCCTCGCACTAGCCGGTAGAAAATCGACAGGCGAAAAGCAGTATAAGAATAACAGCAGGAACCTGGAATCGAGCAGAGCCAAAAGCGAAGAGTCAAGAAGCCAAGCACTGGAGACGGCCGGGTAGTTATATCCCCGGTTCATGGGCGATTTGATTTGGAGGGGTTCGGGGCACCATGAGATCGGACGAGGAAGTGTCACTATTTCATCATCAGCTGTTAGCGCGAGAGAAAAAAGGTTAAATGATCAATAAAGGATGCATGGGTTCTACACCAAGCGCGCCTCCAGTGTTGTGACACGAAATCGGACGATCACAGCGCTAGTCAGATATCTTTTTAGGGAAATTGCTTCCTCCTGCTTCCTTATGGAATAGCCTTTTCAGTTGCCTTTTCCATGTCCCTAGTGCTTGACTTAGTGTTAGTTCAGCGATTACACATCTTGCCTTTCCACTTATCCTACTGTTGCTTACTTTCCTCACCAAAGTGCCAGAAAGTTCCTTGCCTTTCCGCCGAACATCGACAATAAGCACGCGACGCGTACGCTCACCGTTGAGTTTTTTTGCGGAGCAATGTCGCATGGAATTTGCGATCTCCGCTGTGTGATGCTTAATCCTAGTCAGTACCCACAACGTCGGTCACACCTGAACGCCTCTAGTTTGTTCTTGAAAAGAAAAAAATCGGCCCTTCTGCCTTCACTCAACGCGCCCGAAGTTGTGAGGAACATCTGCTGCTCGGCCTAGGAAATCCTTATTGCCTCACTAGGTACTTTTCAATAAATGCGTTCCCAGTGCAATATGTTTGGAAGAATACCAAAGTGGACGATAGTTACAGGCAAAGACATACGGTTTCTCTATATTTAGGTTTTTCTTTTCGTCTCAATAATTGTGGCCACCGACCCTGTTGCTGTAGTAGCAATTTTGGAACAGTACGGTGCTCCTCATCGACTTCGAATTCTCATTGAAGGCGAATCGCTCTTGAACGATGGCCTCGCACTTTTTACTTTACAGGGTACTAGAAAGGCTTCGTTGGCAGGTATGCCTTACGTTTTCAAATGTAAGAGCGGTTGTGTTCAAGACAGCGCCCGCTATAGCCTTTCCGCAGGTGTAAGAACTTTGAAACCTTAAAGGCAGTCGGTTACGGATAATTTCCATTGTACACTATAAAAAAGAGCAAAGGTGCAGTTACTGCCAAAAAGACCTGAAAGAACAGGGCGAAGTGGTGGGGAAGCCACGAATTTCGGGCTTTATTTCTTCGCTGTACTGGGGCAGTTGGACGAGCGAACGGCTGAGGGCGGACGCTGCTTTGGGACAAGCCTATCGATCGGACTGTTTACTGCATGACAAACGCCAGTGTTATTGTTAGACCTGCGATTGGACAGCCCGATGTCAGAAGGGGCATGTGCCATTTGGTTTTGAAAAAATGGAACATATATCTTTCCATAGGTCGAGATAGGACACTCGGAGAGATTTGAAATACCACAATTATTCTTCGTGCTGTTCATGAATGTTATCGGTTCACCGGTGATCGGCCTCATCGGGGCAAGAGTGGTTGCGTGGATTATCTCAAGGCTTCACGAGAATAAAAAACGGCAGGTTAGTGGCAACTTTTCCTCAGAAAACAGGAGAATCCTGTCATTTGAGATTGAAACGTCTCAAGAAGCACCTGTTCAGGCGTTCATACTCGTGTCCGTATATGGTATGTTCATGCTTTGTGAAGTGCTATCTGCTTCTCCTGCTGCCCTTGGCTTAGTGTTCTTTGGAATCATGCTCAGCTCTTACAAGTAGTATTTCCGATAATCTTTTTAGTAATTTAAGCCCAACGCTGTTAATCTTTACGAACTTTGAGTTGTCTTTTTGAGATTTCTAGGTGGAGCAATTAATTTATTGGCCTGACCTTTCGACTTTAACGCCTTCGTTAGAGGCCAAAAGTGTTTCGAGTTGAATGGCTGTGCACTACCCCACCAAGCGCCCAGTAACCCGCCTTTATGTTGGCATGGTTGCAACCTAAGCCGAGAATCTCACGCAACGCGAAAGAAACGCTCACGCACAGTTCCACTGTCGACGCGGAGTAATCCGCTGTTTCAGGTCGACCAGTAGCGAGTGGGACTTACTATACCCTCTCCCTAGACGTATCGTAAGGCGAAGGCGCACGTAGCACTGGTGGCTTCTTAGCTCGCAGTGTGGTATGAATAGTAGAAAGTCAATGAAAATTGCTGATGCTCGTCACGTTCAAACCGGAGTTTCTAACAAAAGCACAAAACGCCTTCAATGCTTCCCTAGCCGCAGTCTCTGTCTCTTGCGCCAATATTGGATTGGGCGATTGATGGGGTGGTGGGTGCACGCCTCTCCAGCTCGAAACATTTAGGACCTCTGAGAACGCCTATGAAATTAGAATCCGATGAATTGTTCCACCTAAGAGCTCTGAAAGGCACACCGGAGTAAACGAAAAACTAGCATGTCGAGGTTACCAGAAGAGGAGCATTATTAGCATGAAAGGAAACATTATCGCGGGTTGACAGAAAGTGAGGACAACTGATAGAAGACGTGCGAGCCGCAGAATAGTCTTTGCAGTGGTGTGAGGAGTAGTGGTAGATGGCCGCCCGGCTATATCTAATCCTGCTAAATATGTCTGTTCTTGTGCGGGTTTTGGTACGAAATTCATAGCGCGCGTCGCAACC